TGATATACAAATGTACTAATCCTTTTCCTATTTTGATATTATCAATAAATAAATAAATAAAAAAAAAAAAAAAAAAAAAAAAAGCTACTACTGTTGCTAATTTTATTTATGAGGAAATAATCTGTCAGCATGGAATACCTACAATTCTACAATCTGATCGAGAATCTAATTTTATGAGTGAAGTTATATGACACTTATATCAAAAATTTCAAATTAAACATCATAAATCATCTGCTTACTGACCTCAAACTAACGGAATAGTTGAACGTTTTAACTGAACAATAAGTAAAGCATTAGCAAAAATAATAAGCTACAAATACAAGGAATAGGATAAAATTCTACCTTCAGTATTACTAGCTTATCGAACAACAAAGCACTCTACTACAAAATTCTCTCTATTCTCTCTAGTATATGGAAGGAAAGCTAAACTCTCTATTAAAACAATAGTTAAAACTTATTATAATAATAGTGAAACTGAAATAGCTCTAATTAAACGAATATTTGAAATTGAGGATATCCTTCAAAAACAACAACATGAAGCTCTCTATAATATACAGGAAGCTCAAATCACTCAAAAGGAAAAATATGACAAAAATGTTAAAATTAACAAACTAAAAATAGGTGATAAAGTTTTAGTTGCAAAATCTCAACTTAAAAACATTTTCTCAGCAAAATTAGAGGAACAATTTATAGAACTATATATCATCCATGATATTTTACCATTAGGAGTTTATAAACTTCGAACATTTGATGGTAAAAAAGTTAAGGATCCTGTACATGGGAATAGGTTAAAATTATACTTTGATCGACCAATTAGTGACCTATCTGTACCACAAATTATTATACCACAAACTAATAATAATCAGTAGATCATATTCCTTAAATTTTTATAAATATAGCTTATATCCCTAAAAAAATTTACAAAAATCCTATACCTTAAAAACTTTATTATTCTTCTTCCTTTAAAAAATTTTCTTATTTTTCTAATTAATTTTCTTTAATCTTAATATTTATACTATTACATTATGAGTAATTTTTGGGATGAAATTGATATTCTAAATATTAATGAAATTTATAATCCTTTACAAAATTTTTTAGATAATTAGGATATCTTTATAGAAAATACCAATGAAGCTTTGGATAATTTGGGAACTAATAATAAAAATACGTCTTTAAGATTACAATATGAAGCTACTCAAAATGAAGTACCTAATGAATAGTAAAATTTGAATATGGATAAAAATTTTGAAAATAGTTCTGATGAAAGCTCTTCTGATAAAAATAATGAACAATCAATAATTGATAAAATCAAAAAGGATTTATAACATGAAGTTGATAATAATACTGAATTTATCTCACCTTTTGAAGGCTACAAGGATTATAAAACCTTCAAAAAATATTGTCAATAAAATTGAACAACTTGGAAACTGTAAAGGTGTCAACAAGCAAAAGTTGAAAATAGCTTACTATCTTGGTGAACTAAGGACTAAAAACCAACTTAATAATAAGTTTATTCAAAAAATAAGGAATAAACTAACAGTAAAGTTCAACAAATCCAAATCTGCAAAAATTTGGAGGTATTTACTTCGAATATACAAAATTTATACAAAATTTGATTTAGGACAACTTTACAAAGCAAAATTTATTAGTATCCAACTTATTAAAAAATTAAACCAAACTCAATTTGATCAAATTTTAGTTTAAAAATTTTATTAAAAATTTTAAAATATTTACAACAACCCTAATTGTATTCTGCAAATTTCATTTTCCAAATCCTCTATTCTATCTCTTAATTTCTTCTTCTCTCCCTCTTGATAAACTTTATACCTGTCAAATTTCTTCTGCATATGATCTAATTGATTCTCCTTTTTCTCTATGCTATTTTTATAACTCATCATCATCTCATAAACTTCATCTACTCCTTTCACTTCTAAAAAATTTTCATACTCCTTAACTTTCTTCTCTAACTCTCTAATCTTCTTATCTCGTTCATTTTCTTCTTTATCTTTCTCTATATTTTCTTCACCAAACTATTCATTCTATCTTTTCTTTAATTTCTCATTCTCTTGCTTCAATCTTCTAATCTCTCTACTCGCTAACTCCAAATCACTTTCTAATTCTACTTTCTCTTTATTAATATCTATTAGTATTTCCTCTATCTGCTCTTTCAAACCTTATATCATATTTTTCTTCAACTTATTTGTCTTCTCGAGCAACTCTGTATTTATAAGCTCTTTCTCCATCAAATCTCTCTTCAACTTTTTATTTTCACTATCTACTATATCACATCTTTCTCTATTATTTTTCAATCTAAACC